CACCAAACCAACGCCACAATATCGCCCCTACCCAAAATCACACACCCTTCATCCTTCATCTCTTTCACTCAACCTCACATTTCACTGCCTTTTTATACGTCTGTTTTTATTTCTGTCTGTTTTAAAATGAGCAGCAGAGGCTGAACATAGAAAGAAGGGCTCAGTACAAAAATGTGGACGTATTTACAAATAGTTATAATCATTTTGCAAACATACCAAAGGAAGATTCCCCTAATTTGACTTGGGGATTTCTTTCATTTTCATTTGAAAAGTGAGTCTGTGTTACTGTCCCTCTGCTGATGAATGCCATCTTGTCTTTAAAGATCTATTGCATGTGGGTGCTGAGGTGTTTTTGGCCAGACTTACCACATGGTAGAGTTCTTTTAGAGTAGGATGATATATACACGAGTACTGTCAGAGATGATCCATACTGTATTTAAAATCTCTGAGTGCATGAGGCCGTTGTAGACATTGTTATTCATCCATAAAGCGAGTCTCCGGAGCCTTTACTACATCACAGTATTTTGATAAAGTGTATCTACCATGCATGAGAATGTTATTCACGTGCCCTTAGCTCCGCCTTTCGGAGAGATACCAGCCTAAGATGGTGGGTACCTCCTGCTTTATTTAACCACTACGGTTTGTGGCTGAATTGTGATGAAGTGTGTGTCTGCATCGTGATGAAGAGGAAGAGTGGAGTCCGGGTGTTTCATGCGATGCATGAGTGAGAGTAGATGAGGTGGAACATCACTCCCTCTCTCTCTCTCTGCATTTCCACTAATCTCGCCTTCTGCTGTCTCTCCTCCCCTCCACTGTCATGTTGCATGTCCTGGTCAAATGTATCCCTGCAGCAACAAAGACGGGCAAAAGAAAATGGCACCTCTTTGAATCTATCGGGAGATGTCACATGCAGCGTTGGCGTCTGTGTGCATCGGCTTCACACTGAACGATTCGAGCAAATCAGAAAAATTGCCGCCTGTCCGTTTTGAGATATCATCTGCAAGCTGTGGAGGACATTTTGTCACTTGCGTCTGGACAGCGTGTGTGTCTTTGTGAGACGTGTGTGTGAGATCAGGGCACCTGCTGTAAAATGACTGGCAAGTGGCATCCATTTAAACGCAACGGGCCTACCGGTGGGCTGCTTTTATTTGCATTTACACACACGCCCTCCGTCCCAGTCCGTGTGGTTGTTAATAGTATCCAGAGTGCTGCTGCCTTTTGTCAGTGTGTGTATGTGGACTCGTCCCTGTGGGGTTCGTCAAAGGAGCCTTTCACCGAGAACAATGATCCATGCCGTTTAGCCTTTTAACCCCTGACGCTCCCTACACGGCAACAAAAGAGACACGCACGCACGCACACACACACACACACACACACACACGTAATGCCAGAATAAGTCTGCATTTGTAAACATGAGTGCAGTATTTATACTCTTAAGTGTGAATGCAGAGTAGGACAAGAGCTTGGTTGCATGCCAAGGTGATTCATATTAGACACCAATCAACAGAAAACACTAAATATACTTCATGCAGGACGGTTGAAAAGTACTGCCTCTGTTGCAGAGAAACACACCAATAAATAAAGAATGAACAAGAAAAGAAAACCTCCTTTTGTAATTTGTCAAAATATATTTTTTAGGAAGGACAGTCGGTTCAGTTTAAGCTTTCATACAGCTGGGCTGATATGAGTTTTTAAAGGCCAATGCACATATTGTTTTGTACTAAAACGGCAGAAAGCTGATATTTTGTGCAATTTTTTAGCACGTCTGGCTTTACAATTAAGCACAGTTGTAAAATGGAAAATATATAAAAAGAATAGTTGAGAATAGCAACCTCTTTTGAATAGTAACGTATTGAACTTCATTGAGTGGCAGACTATACATGTTATGTTTGAAAATAAACAAAACAGCCTGATTTTTAAAAAATATTTGAGTGTAAAAATGGTCAGTATTTAATGAAATGACACAGAGAATCAAACATGAACATGACGGCTTATAAGGAGCTCAGTACGTGTAGATCCAAGCCAGAGGATCTTGTGAGAAGGTTTTGCTGAGATTTCATAACAGCTCAGAATAAAGAGAAAATAAATATCATGGTTTGTTTGTTTTTAGAGGAGATACATGTCTAATATGTGAACACTGTGTGATGTAGAAATACACAGCAACACGCATGTCCATTCCCAAATCAGTTTATATTGACCAGTAAATACTTGACTACGTAATGTTTGTATGACATTATTATTATTATTATAATTGTTATTAATATTATGAACCAGTTATATCAATATTTCTACATATTCACCTGGATTGCCAAAAATGTATCATAACTTTCAAAAAAAAAAAAAAAGCTTTAATATATTCTATTATACAACCATCTGGGCAACAGTCTGTGAAAGAAAATGTTTTAAATATTGCAAAATGCTGTGATTGCTAGCTTTAGTGCTTCACCATGTTGCAGACGTCTGAAGAAAGAGGTGGAATGCAGGCAAAGGGAAGATGCATTAGAGTCCAAAGCACCTGCATGGCCAATGCTTTCTGTCTTACTGGTTGATGACTCCTTATGTCGGTGTCGCTAAAAAACCATCCAAAACTTCTAGAGATGAAATCCAATGTTTGATGATGCTTACAAAAATGCTCCATGTGAAAATCAGGCTTTAAAAAAAGTAAATATTCTGAAAACTACGCATGCCTGATTCCAATTATTACATGATCGCCTGATTACGATTATTTGAGCCGAGTGTGATCATTTTCTCAATCGTTAGATTTCACAATCAAGGACATTTTAAGGCCATGTTCAAAATGCTGCAACAAATAGAAAGTGAATTTTGTGTTTTTCCATATCTGGTAAATATGCTCGACATGAGGAAAACATGAAGCGTAGCTGGCGTTCCTGCTGTTGGGTATTTGTTCTGTTCCTTCCAACGATAACGTTCCCATTTTGGATGCTGAAGTCCATTTTACTTTCGTTTATTTCTGTTTAATTTCACTTTGATTTCTACGTCAGACCTAAATGCTGTTCTTTAGTATAATGTTTAAATCTGCAGAATCAAGTTTAAATTTAAAGAGCTGAACTGGCAGCCGTCATATTGATAAGGGTGCATATTGAGTGGTAACATAAATATATTCACTATGAATATACACGGTTATGTTCTGAAAACATTACTCTCTTACCTTATTTGCAGAAACAGTGTGGCTTTTTGCTGTAAAAAAAAACACTGTTGCAGTATCTATCTATCTATCTATCTATCTCTATATATCTATATATCTATATATCTATCTATATATATCTATAGATATATATATCTATATCTCTTATAGGCAGAAGTTATTATAATAAATGTATGTTTCTAGCACTTTTCAAATGCTTTACAGGACAATAAGGTAACTTAAAACAGGACATCACGGAACATAACAATAGTAAATAAATATGTGCATACATGTGTATGACTATAGACATGTACCTATACATATGTTTCACCTCACAAATGAACATAAATGCACATATACGGACACATTTCATTTAGACCTTTTTAAGAATGCCATCCTGAAAAAAAGGCTTTTTTTCTAGAAATGTTTTAAAAGTTGATGTAGATGATTGTATCTCTACAGGAAGTGCAGTCCAGAGCTTGGAAGACCTGAAAATGCTTGATACCTCGAGTCACAAAATTGGACCTGGGAACAGCAAGAAGTAGCCGACCAGCAGATCTCGGGTGTTTAAGAGAACCATTATGTACACTGGGGCCAGTCCAAGTTGTGCTTTAAAAGTGAGTAGTACAATTTTAAAAGTGATTCTAAAATGTAGGGGAACCAGTGCAAAGATGCTAGGACAGGTGTGATGTGTTCCCTTTTTGTAAATGCCCATTAAAAGCCTGGCAGCAGAGATCTGAACCAGTCGTAGCCGTGGAAGTTGCTTTTGACTGAGGCAGGAATGGGTATCTGCACACCTAAATCTATGCAGAGAACTCTGCTTCAGTAGTGCAATCAGGAAAACCTCTGTTTTCTTATTGTGTAGCTGTGGGTAGTTTTGACTCTTTTATTTAATTTAGGCAAGTATGCAGTGGGATGAGGCTATTGGGGTCATTGGGAATGGTGGGCAAATACAGCAGGGGTCATTTGTGTTTTTGCACTATGTGACCCAATGGAAGCATGTACAGTGAGAAGAGTACCGGACCCAGGATAGAACCTTGTGGGACTCCGCAAGTGATGTGCCATTTATAAACAGGACCCGTGATACTGACCCAATCCCTCTGACAGTTCAAAAGAATTTTCATGATCTATTGTGTTAAAGGCCACATTGATATCAAGAAGACCAAAAATGGAACAGAGTGACTCATCTGCTTTTAAAAGAGGGTCATCAGTCAGTTTTAGACGAGCTGTCTCTGCACTGTGTGTAAAACCAAAGTCTGATTTGAATTTATCTAAAATGCATTTGTCTTTTAAAAAGGTTAACTAATAAACTTTTTTTTTTTCTTCTTCTCTAAAACCTTTGATGAAAATGGCAATTTAGAAATAGGCCTGTAGGCGGCTGGATCAACAGCGTCAAGGCTTTGGTTCTTTTAGAGAGGGACTGTATGACAGCATGTTAAAAACGTGACGGAAAGTGTCCAGTGACTAATGAGCTGTTTATGATAGAAATAACCGGGGAACCCACAGTGTTGAAGACCTCTTTAGATGTAATCCCAACACATCTTTTTAGAGTACAAGTTGTTGATTTCATGGCTTTTACTGATTTGTTCACATTTCTCAAAGATATTTCTCAAAATGAGAGAAAACAGGTTATAACAGAGATAGCCTTTGCCAGTTGAGCAAAATGAGCTCCGACATCTGTGATCTTATTATGAAAGTAAGTTCTTTATAAGGGCTGCACTGAAGTCCAGAATGTGAAGAAGGACTAACAACACAATTTATTGAACTGAATGGCAGATTCTGACCTTATGGTGATGGTCTGCAACGAAATTTGCAAAGAAAGCCATTCTTACATTCTTAACTGCTACTTGAAAGGCACGCATTAGATTTCTAAGATGGTCAAGAGGTGACAGTTGTTTATCAGATTTCCACTTTTGCTCTGCTCTACAACACTGTCTTTTTAGGGAGGGAGTGTACTCATTAAGCCATAAACGAGTGTGCCATTGAGTGTGCTCATTAAGCCATAAACGAGTGTGCCATTAATGAGTGTGCTCATTAAGCCATAAACATCTATATTATGACCAGATTATGTTTCTTAAGTTTAAAAGGAGCAATACAATCCAGAATGGAGGCACAGTTTTTATTTCTGACTCATCGGAGTTAATGATATCAGTGTAGCTGTGGTGCAAGACTGGATGCAAAGAGCGTTGGTGTTGGTGATCAGATACAAAATGATGTTATCTGTAAGGAATCCAAACACATATCGGATGAAAGAACAAGTCCAGTGTGTGTCTTTTTAAGTGTGTAGGCTCTTTTGACTGACTGAAAGACTAAATGAGTCAATCAGATGAATGAAGTCAGTAGAGAGAGGATCTGAGGGACAACAAACATGCATATTAAAATCACCCAGTATCAAAACTCTGTCATATTCAGACAACAGCTCTGACAATTCTGAGATAAAGTAAGCATTGGACTTGGAAGGTCTATAGATCACAATACCAAGCAATCAAATACTTCCTCTGAAAACAAAACTCTGTAGCTCAAAGCATATGAAGTCACCAACAGAGACAGGAGAGTATTTAAAGAGTTCCTATAAATGGCTGCCAGCTCCCCACCTCTACCTGAAAATCTAGGTTTATTAAAAATTAAAAAATGAGTCTCCTTCTGTGAGCCAGATTTCAGTGAACAGAAAAAAAGTCAATATTATTTGAACTAATGTCATGAGAGAAAAAGGATTTGGTCGAGAGGGACCTTGTGTGAAGATCAAAGTTAGGGTTTGTATGCTGTGTATTTATATTATGACCAGAATAATGTGACACTGCTGTTCGTGTCCCACGTGAAACTAAAAGTGAAGTTGACGCTCAAGTCACTAGTCATGTGACTCATTAGTCACTCGTAGTCATACGAGTTATTTGTCGGTCAAGTCAGAATGGATTGATTATTCTGATCGGGGGAAAGTTAAGTAATTACAGACGGTTCTTTGCTGCTTTTAGTATGTTTAAACTTTCATTTAACCTCGAAGCTACTCCTGTAGCGAAACATCTATGTTTAAAACCCCTGTGCAACGTAATCGGACCAAACTGCTCATCTCTTGATCTCGTTACATCATTATTTATTGAACAGACATGTTTCCATCGTGGCAGGAAGTCACTTCCATCCAGCTTTGACATTGTTTTTAGGTTGTTTGCCAATTTCACTGGTTGTGTTATTAGTTTTGCAGGCAACACTATGTTCTGTAAAATGTCAAGCGCATTTAATGTGAAATTATTTGAGTGGTGAATTTCATATTTCTTCCTATTTACATGTGAGCCATCGTCTCTCTGTTAATGATAGCTTAGCTTTGTCCTGAATTTTTAACTTTGTAAAGTTTCAACATGAACATTATTAATGAATGATTGATCATCCTTCTGACGTTTAATGACCATGATTATTGAGATGGTACTGGGTTGATGGTTTGCAGAAACGTGATGAATTAGTGGTGCGAGAGCTACAGATAGCCACAGCAGTGTGTAGTGACAGCGGCGCTGGTTGGTCGACCAATATGAGCTGGTGGGCTGTAATTCTTTTCTCATTTGTTGTCTATTAAACAGTAAGTCCATCAAATTCAGTGTCCCATATAGCTATTATTCAAGCTTCTTTCACTGTCATATTTGTGTACACGCTGTTAGCTCGTTGTAGCCAAAAACACTGCAAGACTCTGCCAAGCACTGGCTGCTAACAGCTGACTAGCTAACTAGCTGTGCTCCGTTGGTTCTCCATTAACTTTGTCAGTGAGGGAGTAAACATTGTACATGCTATTAAGAGGGGCCGTGTGTGTGTGTGTGTGTGTGTGTGTGTGTGTGTGTGTGTGTGTGTGTGTGTGTGTGTGTGTGTGTGTGTGTGTGTGTGTGTGTGTGTGTGTGTGTATATATAATGAGCTTTGAAATTTAGGAATTTAAGTCTTACTGTTTTCTCACAGGCAGCGTTACGTCCAGCATTGACACAGATTCTATTTTTTAAATTCCTGATTAACGATTATTTTTACCAAAATAAATATCAGAACCTTGTCTGATTTTATACTTGAATATTTGATTATTCAATCATCTCCTGAAAACAAACAAATGTAAAAAATATAACTGTAGGTCATAGCAACCTGTTCCCTGAACTGGAGAATCAATATTTTTACTGAAATACTTGACTTAAAACTTCAAACAAGTTATGATGTGGATTTATTTCATCACTGGAGTAATATGCAGTTGAGATAATCAAACGTATTTTTTTTATTTTCAGTGTTGGACAAGGGCAATAAGTGAAAGGATTTACAGTTTGGTCTCTGTCTAAAATGCTTCCAAACATTAGAGGATTGTGGGTAAGGGTTTTAGCTGCAGCTTGTTTGATAGTAAAAATAAACTTTATTAACTGCTTTTAATGTGTGACGAATGTATGTTCTATGTTTTTGGTGTTTAGCTTTTTTTGATGATTTTAATGTTTGTAAAGTGTCTTTGAGAATATTGAAAAGCACTATATAAATAAAATGTATTATTATTAATTTAGCACCTTTCATACAAGGGGCGTCGTTCAAAGTGCTTTACAACAAAGTGAAGCAACAAGACAATTAATAACAAGAAACCGATTAAATTATGTAATTACTGCACAATTAAACTTTATTATAAAACAAAGGAAGACTCTGGGGAATGGATGCCGGAGACATGCATGCTGTCTCCAGGCGCAGCCATTCTTGCAACTTGCAGATGTACGTTATGCAAATAGACATGTTTTTGTAGCCTATGAAGTCCTTGAAGAATCGCCCCAGCCCTGATTTGTAATCAGCCTTGTGAGTGCAGGCATCGGCTGATGCTGATTTTCTCAAATTGGAGCTGTGTAGTCGGGGACAATGGCTCCTGGTAGGGTCTCCCGAAGCAAAGTGGTCCCAGGGGATGGGCCAGACCAGTTGATTATGCTTATGAATCTAAGAGCAGTTCGGAGTAACCAACCTTCTTGGAGTCTCTGGGTGGTGTTCTGGAAAGGCTGCCAACTGGGGACTCTATAGTTCTGCCAAGGGACTTAAATGTACCTAAGTGTGTAGTGAGGGTGACCTGAGACCGTCTGGCTGAGGCCCCTGTATGCGAGGTCTTCAACTCCCAACTTCGTGCATCCTGGGAGAGGCTAGGGTCATGGAATCCGAGTGAGCAATGTTAAAAGCCTCCATTATGGGCTGCAGCTGCGGCTGTTGCCAAAGCAAAAACCTGAGTGTGGGAGGAGTTATGGGAGATTATGGAAAAGGACTTTCGGTTAGTCTCAATGAAGTTCTGGCCAACCGTTAGACGACTCAGAAAGGGAAAGCAGGACTTGACTCAGGCTGTGTTCAGCAGGAGAGGAGAACTGCGGACCCAGATTGGGGATATTGTATAGGGGTGGAAAGAGCACTTTGAGGACCTCCTGACCGACATGTCCTCCGTGGAGTAGCAGAGTTTGATCCATCCATATGCCTGGAAGAAGTTGCTGAGGTAGTCAACAAGCTCCCCAGCGGCAAGGCTCCATGGATTGGCCCTCAGATGCTGAAGGCTCTGGACATTATTGTGCTGTCTTGGCTGCAGGCATCTTCAGTGTTGCGTGGAGGTTGGGGACAGTGCCTGTGGAGTGGCAAACAGGGGTGATGGTTCTCATTTTTAAAAAGGGAGTGTGGTCCAAGTATCCTGGTATCACACTGATCAGCCTACCCTGGAAGCAATGCAGATAAAGTTGAACACGTTTCCAGTGTGTGTTGGCCTCCGCAAGGGTTGTCCCTTGTCACCAATCCAGTTTGTGGTTTTCATCGACAGGATTTCAAGGCGCAGTCGGGGGAGGAGAGTGTCCGGTTTGGGGACCTCAGAATTGCGTCTCTGCTCTCTGCAGATTATGTGGTTCTGTTGGCTCCTTCAGATTGTATCCTTTCGACCGCACTGGGGCTGTTTGCAGCCGAGTGTGAAGCGGTCGGGATGAGAGTCAGTACTTCCAAATCTGAGGCCATGGTTCTCTGCCGGAAAATGGTGGATTGCACCCTCCGGGTTGGGAATGAATCACTGCCCCAAACGAGGAGTCTTATTCACAAGTGAGGGTAAAATGGAGTGTGAGATGGACTGGCAGTTCAGTGTGGGGTCAGCAGTGCTGCTGTCGTTGTACCGAACAGTTTCTGTGAAGAGGGAGCTGAGCCGGAAGGCAAAGCTCCCAATTTGGGTTGTGACCCGAAGAATGAAATTTTGTACTCAAAAAGACAAAATGAGAATCCTTTTATCGGGTGGCTGGACTCCCCTCCCCCCCTGGATTCCCCTCCAACCGGCTCCGGATAAGCAGAAGATGATGGATGGATGGATGGATGGAGCATAGTTAATTTAAGAACAACAATTCTACAGAATTATGAATACAATATCTATTAATATAGAAAATAATACTTTGTCTACCAGAGTGACTGCTGTCCACCATCAAAACATATCAACATATGCTGCTTATCACTTAAACAAGTTGGGGTGAGGTTTTGTATGACAGAGAAAGTCTTTAACCTTGTTATTTTGAAATTGCTCATGTCCAGCCACCATTAGATCTCCTGTTGTGCATTCACATTTAGACAAGTAGTGCAGTGACCAATTCAGAGTGTGTGGCCATCAGAGCGTGCCACTTGCTTGGCTCCTGGAAGTGCTGCTTGCAGTGTTGTTGATAACCGCTTATCACTTGTAAGCTCCAGTGAAGTGAAGACGTTTGGTTGTAACGTTAGTTTAGCCAGCATCCAGCAGCAGCAGAAGAAAACTGCAATCAATGAGCCACAACCTGTAAAGGCCTGCTGTGGACGACAGCCCACAGCCCTGGAGCTCCGCCCCCGCTGTTGCACTGAGCGCTGTTTCAATATTCAAAGTTTTTTTTTATTTATTTATTTTTTTTTATACAACTCAAAAAGTGTCCAAATTGTCCCATATTGGACACGACACTTTCTTGGGTTCCCAGCAACCCACCCACCATGTAGATGGGATGATTAGTTCACAATATATGAAAAGGAGGTACAGACGGGATGGACAGACAGAGATTCCTTGCTTTATAGTTAGATAAAGTTTGTCAATTAGTAAGGAACATTCCCTCTACATGGAGCCCTTTTTCCATAAAGCCGGGATATTCCCACTGAGCTGTGCTGTGAGCAGGTGTGGTTATAGTTGTATGTCTCACATGCTGTTAGGGTTACACTACCAAACACTTTGATTAAAGCGGCTCCAATCAATATTTTATAGACACAATATGTCATGTGACTTTAAGATAAAAGGGGTCACTTGCAGTGAAATACTCTGAATTATCACCAAAGTAGGTTTCACATTGCATCAGTATTTCTGTTTCTCTTAGTATTTAACAGGATTCAGCAGAAAGCGTCCTCTCCGTGCTGCTGATCAGATAAAGGCGGTCTGCCTGGCTGACGGATAGTCATGCACTGCCATGAGAATAATGAGACTAATTTACCCAGCAGATGACCGATAACTCCAAACAACCTTTGTGGAGGAGGGAGAGATGCAGCAATATCACAGGCCCTTTTAATTAGCATTGGTGGCTGCTAACGGTACAGTACATGTCAGCTGTGAGCAGTCCACTAAAATACAGGCTCTACACTGTGTTATGGAAGATGCACATTGTCCTCTTTTCAACAACTTCCTTCATGTAATTTGTGTTGATTGTACCATCCATCAAATAAAAACGGAACTATTCGACATTTCAGAGGAAAGGGACATTCCTGTTGGGAAATTATATTTACATACAATGTTGAATCAGTCACACTTTGATGATACAACAGTGTAAAAATACTCCAGGAGTCTCTTAAGGACACTGACGCGTCTGAAAGTTATTTGCCATACTAGTTCATGAAAGGTTTAGCTGGGTTACATATTCACTAGGTCCTAGCGTTATCTGTAGCCTACGTTCTCTAACTTCTTTTCATAGGCACATGCTTCCAGTGTAATCTCATCATAATCTCTGTCATCCTCGCTGGTGACCAGCTCTTGCACAGGAGGCTCTGTTTTGCATAAGAAGTATTCATAGGAAAGTCTTTCTTCCATAGGTTTGAACCTACCCGTTCCTTAATTCATGTAGAAATGGAAACGCTCTGTCATCTTAACGTAGAGCGTCTGATTGGATTTACGAACGCACCCATGATTTGCAGAATAAGCTTTTCGACAAAGAAATATATCAACTGATTAAATAGTATATATCATTATGAATGAAACTGTCCAAGTAGCCTACAGAGTATAATGATGGAAGTACAACTGTCACTCAACATGATACATTAAGCACATTAAGGGCATTTTATATGTTCTGAAACGACATGAATGGGAACCAGTACCACCATTGATTAGATTGTACACATGCATGCCATGTGCTGTCATGAGATTTAGATGCCAGAAAGCGCCTCAGGATGTGTGCTGTAGTAACATCAAGGATGATTGACCCATGGTAACCCTCTGCCTCTCTCTTTTTTTTCACAGTGATGGAAGTAAGAGAGGCCAGTGGATCCCTTGTCAGCTCCATCTCCCAACGGACAACATGAAGGAGATTCATCTCACCCTGATAGCCAGAGAAGTCCGTTCCATCAGACCTAGCACCACGAGTCTTGATAGCATCTGTTCTGAAGTGTAAAAGAAACTTATTAAAAGATCACCCTCCCCCTGCCGGTCCTCTCTTTAACCCTACGGAGGAAAACAACACTTCCTCCATACGACCACTGCCCTGCAACTACTGGACAATTTACTGATGTGAACATACTGACCCGAAGACTGTTAACCACAACGACTGTTCTCCCACTACTGCCCTTTTCCCTTTGAAAAACATATTTTTATAAGAAATATTTATCAGAATATATCTCTACACGTATTGTTGATAACATTTGGATCCCTTAAATTCAGTCTGACCATCCTAAGATTTCCTTCAGATTGACTTTCCCTCAGACACCTTGTTGGAGTAAAACATCCTTTGCAGCTATGGGTCCTGTAGGTTTCTCCATCACTCTGCAAGTGTTCCTCAGCACATGTCTGGGACTGGAATTTTTAGGCACACCAGGTCAGTGGGCCCGCTACCTCCGCTGGGATGCCAGCACCCGCGGTGACCTCAGCTTCCAGTTGAAGACGGAAGCCTCGGAGTCGCTTCTGCTGTACTTTGACGATGGCGGCTACTGTGACTTTCTGCAGCTGTCGGTGGTGGAGGGCCGACTGCAGCTTAGTTTCAGCATCGACTGCGCTGAGACCACGGTCGTGTCTGACAGACGGGTGGATGACGGCAGCTGGCACTCTGCCGGTCTGAGCAGGTATAACCTGCGCTCAGTGCTGGTACTGGACGGCCAGGCCAAAGCAGATGAGGTGCGGCCGCAGCGTCAATTCATGAAAATCGTCAGCGATCTGTTCCTGGGTGGAGTGCCTCAGGATATCCGCAACGGTGCACTCACACTGCCTACGGTGCGAAACATGCAGCCCTTCAGGGGCTCAATTACAGACCTCAAATATGGCATCTCACAGCCCCTGTTCCTGGGAAGCCTTAATGTGCCCCTGGAGTCAGAAGGGTGGTGCACGGTGAACCCATGTGAGAATGGAGGTACGTGCTCCGTGGTGGACGGAGAGCCGGTCTGCGACTGCTCCAAAACAGAGTACAAGGGCCGCTTCTGCAGTGAAGGTAACGCATGACACACGACGCTCTCATTCACCTTGATAGACTTTGGCAGGACTCCAACTGTGAAACTGATTCTCTCACTTCAACTTAAAATGAAGCAAATTTCTTTTTTCGTACTCTAAACAATTTTACATTTTCATTTATTGCAAATCCAACTGAAGGCATTATGCCAAATATGCCTCACAGCCCACTGCTGTTCCTCAGGGCTTGGTTTGAGTCGCTGAACAAATTAGAAATGTGGCCAATAATTCAGAGGTCTGGGACCAGAAGCGGTTACAGCTCGTGAAGTATTAGGTGAAAATCATCTACATAATCGGTCAAATAGAAGAGCTTCATTGAGTGTTCTTTCACATTTGGAGAGCTGCACCTGTCCAGCTCTGAAGTAGCACATTTGGTTTTGTTGTTTTTCACGTGCACGGATCCAGCTGTTTTCACCCGCACAGTTTCAATTAATTTGCCGTGTTATTTTACAGGACGGTTAATGACCAACATCATGACCTTGAAGGTTTCAATGTTTTTCACATTACTTGTTTTTTTGTATCTCTCTGGTCTCAGGATTGTCTCTGCTATTACACCAGACTGTGTGTGTGTGTGTGTGTGTGTGTGTGTGTGTGTGTGT